GTGTGGGGGGAGAGGCAGCATGTGTGTGTGTGTGTGTGTGTGTGGACGCCCTTGTCTGTTTGCGCGTCTGTGTGTGTGATACATACTCAATGGAGCGATGTATTTGGAGCCAAGGATCCGCAAAGTGATGAAACGGGCTTGAATGTAGAATACAACATCAGCGCACCATCAACAAGCAATGTGCATTGTGCATCCAGATACATACAAAAATAGCACAATGTAGTGCAACCGAAGACACAAAGATATGACCTGACCTGTCAGATACCAATGCGACTCAACCATCACACATCCCACATGTGAGAGAGAGGGAGGGACCACAATCATTGAAGAAAGGTCCCTACTTTCACACAACTGGGGGACATACCACGGGTGAGGGGGATGAGCAGGGGCGAGATGAAGATGGAGATGAGGGAGAAGACCAAGATCGCGATAGCAAAGTCCGAAAATAGTCTCCCTGCCGAATGTCCAATCAATGTCTGGCAGAAAAATGTTGAATCAGATCCCGGGATTCATAGCCCGGTGTAGCCTCTGCCTGTAATCTGTCTCCCTCTCTCTTTTTTGAAAGAAGAAGAAGAAGAAGAAGAAGAAGAAGAAGAAGAAGAAGAAGAAGGAAGGAAGAAGAAGAAGAAGAGATGGAGGGCGAGAACTGGAGGAAGGAGAAGATGTCATTCTCCTCTCGGTCTCAACTGCAGGTAACTGCCGCCATGTACTAACCCGCCGGAGTGCCTCTCTGTGCTGCAGGTTGCTTGCGAGAAGTCCAGCTATGGCGCCCACGTAGGTACTCCGCCGATGCAGGTATGAACACCGCCTCTCTCTCTCACTGCCTACTCCTCTACGTCTAGCGCAACGCTGTATCGCGCTGCTCCAGCAGCGTGTCGAACTGTGTGTTGCCCAGAAGCTCGCCCAGCTATAAGTAGTGCTGGGCCAGGCCTAGAAAACGGTCTGCGTGGGTCCCTACCTGGCTTCCAGGCCGTCCCTGCTGATGAAGCAGGGAGTGCCCGCTACTGGACAAACCTGAACCTGGCCTGGAATGGCCTGGTCCCGAACAAAGAAGGCCAAAAACAGGCCCTAAGTTGTCCTAACAGACCGAAAGTCTGTTCGGATGAACTACAAGTTCGAAACGACATCTGCAATGGACAAAAAATAAGCAGCAAATAAATAAATAAATAAATGCTGCTCTACTTGGTTCCTGCAGCCCCGAAGGTTGGCGGTAGGCCTCCAGGGCGTGTGCCTGAAAGGCGTGCGGCCTGGGGCCCCTAGCTACCGCTGGGCCCCCAAAACGGGCCCAGTGTGTGTGTGTGTGTGNCTCCAGGGCGTGTGCCTGAAAGGCGTGCGGCCTGGGGCCCCTAGCTACCGCTGGGCCCCCAAAACGGGCCCAGTGTGTGTGTGTGTGTGTGTGTGTGTGTGTGTGTGTGCACGTGGGGGAGAGACTGAAAGTCTGTTCGGATGAACTGCAAGTCCGAAATTACATCTGCACAGACAAAAATAAGCAGCAAATAAATAAATAAATAAATAAATGCTGCTCTACTTGGTTCCTGCAGCCCCGAAGGTTGGATGTAGGCCTCCAGGGCTCGCAGCTGAACGGCGTGCGGCCTGGGGCCCCTAGCTAGCATCGGGCCCCCAAAACGGGCCCGGTGTGCAGGATCAGCATGTAACAGTGTGTGTATGTGTGTGGTGTCCCCATGTGTGTGTGTGCATGTGTGTGTGTGTGTGTGTGTGTGTGTGTGTGTGTGTGTGTGTGTGTGTGTGTATGTGTGTGTGTGCACGCGGGGTAGAGGCACCCCCCCCCCCCAACCAATCAATCAAGCATTGCCACTAAATCAACCAATCAATCAATCTTTTCTTTAAGTGCATTTTTGTTCTTTTTTTCCTGCTTTTTGCTATCAATCAATCAATCAATCAATAAATCAATTAACCAATCAATCAATCAATCTTGTTTTTGAGTGCATTTAGTTTCTATTTTTCTGTTCCGTTAAAACTGGAAAGATACAGAGTAGATTAGCATGGCCCCTGTGCAAAGATGACACGCCTAGATCGAGAAATGGTCCAAAAAAAAAGAAACAATCAAGGGTGACTTTCAAAAATAGCGCATCGCGGTCCGGTGCGGGCGATGTCCGCACGGTGATCGGAAAAGGATGGAGAAGATCACTCGAAGAGCTCACACAAACTCAAATGGACCTCAAGACCAAAACCGATCGAGAAGAGACGCAAAACCGGCCCAAACTGAGGCAAAGTGTGCGGTAACAATGAAAAACAGAATTGCACAGTTTCAAACAGACCGACAGACTCAAGAAAGACTGCTGTTAGGACCTGCCAAGCAGGGACTGAGACACACAGCTGATTTCTGAGTTTTGCCAATGGAATATATGCCTTGCTGAGTTTCCCGCTTGTTGCTGACTATTCTAAGTCTGAGTGTGTGCGTGTTTGCTGGTCTGCACGCCCGTCTGAGTGCTTGTTGGTTTGAGTATGTGTGTGACCCGTGAGGGTACTTGTCCTTGTGGAAGGCCCAAAGGGCCGGGGTTGCCATGACATTGAAGGTTACAGCAGCGGAAACACTCAAGTGGTGGGGAAAGAGTCCGGCGACACTTGGAGCAGTGGAAAAACACTCAAGCAGCAGGTAGGCCGGTACCACACCAGGTAAATGTAGATGTGCGGGTTTCTCGAGGCCGAGCAGAAGAAGACAAAGCTGGCATTTTCGGAGGCCCAATAGTTGTAGGCTAGGTATAGGCGAGTACCAGTCCA